CACTCATCATACACCACTCATCATACACCACTCATCATACACCACTCCTCATACACCACTCATCATACACTACTCATCATACACCACTCATCATACACGACTGATCACACACCACTCATCATACACGGCTCATACACCAGCTCTGGTTCCAAAAGGTGAAGCTTGAGGCAACTCCAGCTCCAGGTGCAGATTTCGTGGCAGGTGCAGCACTTTGTGTACCTCCATGTGCAGATTTCCTGGCAGGCACAGCACTTTGTGAACCTCCATGTGCAGATTTCGTGGCAGGCGCAGCACTTTGTGCACCTCCATGCGCAGATGTCGTGGCAGGCGCAATACAAAATGCGTAGTGGAGAGATAGCGAACGCACAAAATGCTGTATTTTTCAATGGAACCGGTGGCTCCGAAGCTGGCAAGTCAAGGTCTGCGGAACGACGGGTGCGAGACGGTCTCGGATCATTCTCGGAATCGTCCGTCCATTGGGATTAGAGTTTTCACTTGTTTCTTGAAGTGAAGATTTCGTGGCAGGTGCAGCACTTTGTGAACCTCCATGTGCAGATTTCGTGGCAGGCGCAGCACTTTGTGTACCTCCATGTGCAGATTTCCTGGCAGGCACAGCACTTTGTGAACCTCCATGCGCAGATTTCGTGGCAGGTGCAGCACTTTGTGTACCTCCATGTGCAGATTTCGCGGCAGGTGCAGCACTTTGTGAACCTCCATGTGCAGATGTCGTGGCAGGTGCAGCACTTTGTGAACCTCCATGTGCAGATTTCGTGGCAGGCACAGCACTTTGCACCTCCATGTGCAGATTTCGTCGCAGGTGCAGCACTTTGTGAACCTCCATGTGCAGATTTCGTGGCAGGCACAACACTTTGTGAACCTCCAGGTGCAGATTTCGTGGCAGGTGCAGCACTTGGTGAACCTCCATGTGCAGATTTCGTGGAAGGTGCAGCACTTTGTGATTCTCCATGTGCAGATTTCTTCGCAGGCACAGCACTTTGTGAGCGTCGAGGTGCAGATTTCGTGGCAGGCGCAGCAGTTTGTGAACCTCCATGGGCAGATTTCGTGGCAGGCACAGCATCTGGGGAGCTGGAAGCTGAGAACTGGCGACTTTGTAGTACAACTTTAGTACGCGGAGCAATCTGTGAGCTGGAAGCTGAGAACTGGCGACTTTGTAGTACAACTTTAGTACGCGGAGTATCTGGCGAGCTGGACGATGAGAACTGGCGACTTTGTAGTACAACTTTAGTACGCGGAGTATCTGTGGAGCTGGAAGCTGAGAACTGGCGACTTTCTAGTACAACTTTAGTACGCGGAGCAATCTGTAGAGCTGGAAGCTGAGAACTGGCGACTTTCTAGTACAACTTTAGTACGCGGAGCAATCTGTAGAGCTGGAAGCTCAGAACTGGCGACTTTCTAGTACAACTTTAGTACGCGGAGCAATCTGTAGAGCTGGAAGCTGAGAGCTGGCAACTTTCTAGTACAACTTTAGTACGGGGAGCAATCTGTAGAGCTGGAAGCTGAGAACTGGCGACTTTCAAGTACAACTTTAGTACGCGGAGCAATCTGTAGAGCTGGAAGCTGAGAACTGGCGACTTTGTAGTACAATGTACAACTTTAGTACGCGGAGCAATCTGTGCAGCTGGAAGCTCAGAACTGGCGACTGTGTAGTACAACTGCAGTACGCGGAGCATCTGGGGAGCTGGAAGATGAGAACTGACTGGCGACTTTCTAGTACAACTTTAGCACGCGGAACAACCTGTGGAGCTGGAAGCTGAGAACTGGCCACTTTGTAGTACAAGTGTAGTACGCGGAGGAGTCATCTCTCGCTGCTGAGTCAGCTCTCGCTGCTGTGAGTCATCTCTCGCGACTGAGTCATCTCTCGCTGCTCATTTCTCTCTCGCTGCTGAGTCAGCTCTCGCTATAGCCATCTCTCGCGGCTGAGTCATCTCTCGCGGCGTGCAGGTTTGGCACAGTTCATACTGATAGTATTTGGTTGCATTTATGCAGGACAGGACATTCAACTGCTGGTCAATACACCACTCATCATACACCACTCGTCATACACCCCTCTTGTCGTGGCAAAGATACAACCCAGTACGCTGTTGTGAGCTGCTGATCCTGCAGGGGGCACAAGTCCGGAGCGCGTGCGTTTGACTGGAGGACGCGCATGTTGGAGAGAACGTGGACACTCCTATAGGTCACTTTGTTCTTGTATGAAACTTCCGCCGCCGGCAGTACTTGTATGAAACTGCCGCCCGGGAACTACTTGTAGCTTCTTGTTACTAGCAGTAAGGCCAGGAGCCCCTAGTAGCTTC